AGACATCTTTTGAAATCCTTCGAATCGCATAGAATCTACCATCAGGGCCTATATTCTGAAAACCGATATAGTATCTTCTTAGGATATCTTTAAGTTCGCTGCTGTGCGATAATAGTTCTATAATCTCTATAACAAGTTTCTGGAAGAACATGATTTCATTCATCTTCCAGCTCGAGATCTTTTGAAATCAGGAGGGTCAAACAGGTCATTGGGCCTATCTGACGTGCGTTTTCTGCATTTTCAATGAAAACAACTTCATTTCTTGAGTAGAAAGTGCAAATTTCAAAATAAAATATAGAGAATTTTTGCTCTGGAATGTAAGAAATGACTTTTGCATCAGTTTGACTCAGCGCAATCAGGAGTAACAATAAATTATCATTCAATTGTTCATTGTCCATTCATTTATTTAGTTTATTTATACGTTTTGGTAGATTAAGGATCATACTTGTTAAATGGTTGTTTCAAAAGTTGTACATCAAGCATTTATGTACACACTAAGTTAAAATGTGTCGCATGTGTCGTGATTTGCGACACATTATACGACACATTAAAGTGCGACACGAGGAGCTCACTGCGACACATTTTCTCCAGCAAGACCACGACACATTTTGTGCGACACATGCGACACATTTTCTATTGGTTCTTTTGGAAAAGCATATTTCGATTTTTTTTTCAATTTAGTTCCATTCAATTATTTCTATTCTGAAAACTCAAGCAGGTCAGATCGTGAGACCCGTCCGATCTCGAGTTGGTCCGATTTGCAGCAGATCGCTTCAGGGTAGTCCTCTCTCGATCATGGATCGAGATTAGCATTTTCTCGATAAAAAAAATGATCGAGAAATAATTTAGAAAAAAAGAATATTTTGAAAATTTATCTTTCGTATGTTCAACCACGTTGTTTATATATCGCTATGTATATGCATAATAAAATGGTGAACGAATAGTCGGCAGACAGAACGCGACAAATTCATATACGACACATTCTAAGCACGACACATTTTTGTGCTGGAGTGCACGACACAATAATTCACGACACATAACTGCGACACATTTAAATTTAGTGTGTAGTATTACAAATTTATAGTTTCTTATGCGTTCCGACTAAAAAGTCATCGTCTATTTCTTCATAACATTATGTAAGACGATTAAAATTGAAAAGCAGCTTTTCCTCAACGTTGAAAGCTTCTGCTTCTCTCCACTCAATACTTGTATACCTCAATGAATGAATAGATGTTTCATTTCGTCATGTTATTTTGATATTAAAACACTTTTCCCTCCTCTTACAAAGACAGTTT